GCGGAGCCACAGATCTAACAGGTCTAAAACGCTAAATGCAGCTCCCCTTTCATCCTGTCCTGGCTAGTTGTGGCTATGCTGCTGGTTTGCCTTTTGCACTGCTGCTCCAAAAGCTGTGAGTGTTACTGCAGACAGACTGAACGTGTGGTGTGTGTGACTGATGGGAACACACTCCACTCTCTCACTGATGAGTCTGGACCTCCATCAGGCTTTTAAAACTGCAGACTCATTCTGATATATTTATAATCACGACCAGCTATTAGTCTCATGCAGTTCTGCATGTTTTACATCCAGTGAGTGCAAATGAAACCATCCTGTCAGAACAGCAGAAGGGAAGGACATGCATTAATGCTTCTTGGTTTAAATCACCTGCTGTGCTGAAACGAGTAGACTTTAATATGACATCAACATGCTGGTTTTATTAATCATAAAGTAGTTACCTCTAACTATTTACGCACAGGTGAAGCTGGAATAATATGAATCTGTAGCAAAAGTCCATTTATGTCAGTAATCCAGCCTCCGACTGAGAGACCATCTAAAGGCTCAGGAACCCTCTGCAGGCGTTCTGGATTCATCAGCTGATTAGAGTGTGACACTGAGTCTAGAATATTGAACCTTTTCACAATATTCTTATGAAGAGCTTTTTATCAGCTGTAAGCCTTAATCATCAGTTATAACAACTAAAGGCTGAAATATCTAGATTTGTATAGACTGAGCGTGTCTCACAGATTAGTTTCACCTTTTGAGTAGATTTACTGACATAAATGAACTTTTGCACCAAATTCTAATTGTTCCAGTTCCACCTGTAAAGGCTGGTTCTCATTGGTCCTTTCTGAGTCATCTGACTGTCTGGCTTTGATGGCTATGAAGAGTGGCCATGGGATGTGTCTGTCTGTCTGTCTGCCTGTCTCTCCCTCTGTCCCTCTCACAGTGACACCATCCCACCTCTCTATCATGTTACTAGTGGCTGAAAGCTGCTCCTCTGCCCTCCAACAGCCCCGTTAACCCATAGTCCCCGTTTTCCTGCTGCTCTAATCCCATTAGCTCTCTCATGTCTCCCCATCACTTCTAGAAAATCTATTTGAGGTCGCAGTCTGGAGATAAATCCTTGTTATTCTTCTCTTTTTCCCAGAGGCAAATCAGCATATTATTTATGGGGATAGGCGCGCGCGCACACACGCACACACACACACACACACACACACACACACAGCCATCTCATTATAGCTCATAGATGTGAGGAAAAAGCTCGTTGTTTTGTTTGTTGGACTAAACACCTCATGGAGCTGGATCCACATGCACTAGCAGCATCTGACAGATGCCCGTTATCATACACACACACACACACACACACACACACACACACACACACACACACACACACACACACACACACACACACACACACACACACACACACACACACACACACACATAAACACAACACCTTTGTTTCTGCTCCCATTTTTCATGAGATGGACTTAAAGATCTAAAATTCATTCCAGATTCACAATTTCTCTCAAACATTGTTCACAAATCAGTCTAAACGTGTGATAGTGAGCACTTCTGCTTTGCTGAGATAATCCATCCCACCTCACAGGTGTGCCACATCAATATGCTGGTCCGACATCATGAGTGGTGCACAGGTGTATCTTATACTGCCCACAATAAAAGGCCACCCTGGAATGTGTGTGTGTGTGTATATATATATTACAGGATAATTTATATATATATATATATATATATATATATATATATATATATATATATATATATATATATATATATATATATATATATATATAGTTATTATTATTGTTTTTATCGTAGCCGACCCTTTTTTAGGCATCAAAACTCACGGCAGATCTCTGTCTTGACACTTTTTGGGTTATCTCCACATACATGAAGAAAAAGGACCTCCAGACTGAATAGTCAGAGAGAAGCAGCAGATTGCCTTGAACCTACAGCTGTGATGAGTTTGAAGGAAACAACAGCTGAGTGAGCAGCTGTGACCTCCCTCAGAGGAACACACACTGTGAGCGTTTGACACAGTTGATGTTTTATCATTAAACGGTCAATCTTTCATCACAGACCCAAGACGTTCTGTTGCTCCTGCTTCACTCTGCTCTGAACTTCTGTCACCGTTTAAAGTTCACAGTTTGATTCATGGAACTTTCGCTCAGGTTCGAGTGGCGAAGGAACGGGAAGTTTTTCAACATTGGGAAGGATCCTAGGGTGACGATGCGAAAGCGCTCAGGAACCTTGGAGATCAGTTTCCGTAGCGGAGGCCGACCGGAGGACTACGAAGGACAGTACCAGTGTATCGCCAGCAACGATTTTGGGAAAGCTCTGTCCAACAAGATTCTGCTCCGGGTCTCCAGTAAGAGCACACACTTGTACTGCTGAGGTGTAGACACTTTGGTATGCTCTGCCCCTGGAGTGGAAACTGTCATAAAGGAATGTTTTCTCATCTCCTGCCTGTTATTTCCAGAGGCTCCCCTGTGGCCTAAGGAGGTGCTGGAGCCTGTGACGGTGACTGAAGGCTCTTCGCTGGTTCTACCATGTAACCCCCCACCGGGCCTGCCTCCACCCTCCACCTTTTGGATGGACAGCAGTTAGTAGTCTTTTTCCTAATGTGAAAACATTACACCTGTCATCCCTACACCCACCACTACAACACCATCCGTCCTTTTACTGGTGAAACTGGAAAACGGAAATCTGGTGCAGAAGTTCGTTTATGTCACTAATCCAACTTAAAGGTGAAACTCATCTGAGACAGACTCATTCCATACAAATCCAGATGTTTCAGCCTCATTTGTTACAACTGTGATGATTATGGCTTACAGCTGATGAAAACCCCACATTCAAAATCTCAGACTATTAAAATACAATAATCTACTCAAAGTGTCACACTCTAATCAGCTGATGAATCCAGAACACCTGCAGAGGGTTCCCGAGCCTTAAGAGCAGGGCTGTCAAACTCAAATTCACACGGGGCCAAAATGAAAATCTGGGACGAAGTCGCGGGGCAAACTTAATATTTTTTGAAAAAGTGACGGCAAATTTGCCCATTTTCTTTACCAACATATATGCAATTTTGAACTTTTACATTTGGAAACAAACTTATTTTTGCATTAACACTGAATGTGGAATAACCAAATTACACATGAGCAAGTCCATTTTAAATAAAAGGCATCAGTGGTATTCATTACTTGTGGTATATTCAGCATTTTTAAAATCTGTTCAGGATTTATGTTTTCTTGTTGTTTATTTTTTATCCTGCTTTTTTCCCCTGTAATACGTGTCATCGCTGCTGTGACGTCTAGCTTTCCCCACTGAGGAACAATAAAGGGATTTTCTATTCTATTAATCTATCTGCAGCCTTTCCACTTCCTGTTTACTGTCGGTTAAATCTTTTCTCACGGGCCAACAACAAAATAAAAATATAATTTTATCTTAAAGGGACATTATGGAAGTTTGACAGTCAAAACATGTATAGAAATAATCCATTTCTTCTTCATACATTCTCCTGCAATGCCCTGGTCCTGTAGAATGAGCCCTGGCATTTTTACTGTGATTGCCTGTTTTTCTGTAAAATCACAGAAAAAGAGAGATGCTCGGTAGAGCCCTGCACTGAAGCCCTAGGCCCTCGGGTCGGGCTTCGGGCCAACGACTGTGCAATTACCTCGGACACGGGCCGGGCTCCTTTATTTTTAATCGGATTCATTTAAAAAAAACTGAAACACAAACGCAGCAGTAGAGCCCTGCGCGGGACTGTTTTCTTCATCCAACTCCTTCCCGCTCCCGCTGAATTTCTGACCATTACCGGCCGCAACCGCAACGTGTGTGTTACACTCCCGCCCGCACCTGCAGCGTGCATGTCTACTCCCGCCCGCACCTGCAGCGTGCATGTCTACTCCCGTCTGCAACCGCAAAACTCGGAGAAATTATTACCTCACAATAAAAGAGATGTATCGAGTTTGCGTCCTCTCTGGTCCTGGAGAAAACATGTCACAACCCGCGGCTCTTCCATCCATCTGATGCGGCTCTCTGTGCTTGTAAAATAATGAATGTATATTTAAATAAAATGCTTTATATTTTACTGCATTAATTTTATATCTGTAAGTCAATTCTATGTAAAGATTGTCTGTAAACCTGAACAGGTCCAACCCAGTCTTACTGTGAGACCAGGTTGACGCGTCACGCTTGTGCGTAATATAAGCTGTCTGAGCTGAAGAGATTCTGGGATTCTCCTCCTGGATGTGTCGCCACATTGGAGACAGGAACAAGCACTATTCAACCAAAGTTTCATAATCAGGGAACATTTTATAAGTGACAAGTCTCTCTGAGAGACAGGGTTTGGAAAACACTCGCTTCAGTGGGAGGAATCTTCCCGCATGTGCTCTGGTTCTGCGATGCGCTCCAAACCCCTCTCCACAACTTCAGCTCCCTGTGCACATATGCGCTGACAGCGAGCTGCGCTGAGCAGCTCAGATGTTCAGATGGGAATCTTTTCTTGGGTGATTTAGCTACATCTGCGATGTGTGTAACGAATAAAACGTCAGTTCGTCTGCATGCGTCGGGGTAATTCTTTCTATTCTGGAACTGTCCGGTCAACTCAAGCCCTGCTTTTGACTGTTCTGTTTTCTTGTGAAAATTGTTGGAAAGAGATCAAATTTAACTTGATTACCACCAGAGCCAGTGCGCCGTTATCTCCGTGGCGGTAAACGAGGGAAAAACAAATTGATCGGATCCTGCACGTCTTTTAACACATTGGTCAGGATTGACGCACTTTGTTTTCATTTAGCTGGTTAAAAAAAAATTGGGCTCGGGCTCGGGCCGGAGAATCCTGAAAACCTTTTCGGGCCAGGTCGGGCTGGGGCTCCACCCCCTCGGGCCGGGCCGGACACGGGCTCAGATTTTAGGCCCGTGCAGGGCTCTACTGCTCAGGTCGAGCAGGCTGCTTCATGTGCGTTCACACTCAGGCATCGCCCGTAGCATTTGCTATCCGTAGCTTTAATCTTTAATCTAGTTGCTGTTCCTAACGCCTAGTGACAAAGCTAGCTACATTTCTGAGGACCCTTAGCTACTTTCTTCAAGATATTTCCTGCAAATTAGCATTAAAATAGCCATTTTCACTCCGAACCGTTCTTTGAACGTTGTTTCCGCTGTCATCAAGGATATAAATGTTACAGATACAAAGAACATCACTGGTGCTTTAGCTCACCTAATAAGATGTCGGACTCTAGTGCAGGAGACCCGGGTTTGATTCTGTATGTCAACATAGTTTATTTAGAGTTTCTACATTAATGGTATACTTTTTACAGTAAGATGCCCACATTTTTATTTGAGACTCTCCGACCGGTATAGAATTCACAGATAAAAAAGATGTGGGTTCAACTTTTCACTTTGTTGGCTGTGCTGAAGAGAAAGGGACAGAACTAAATTATTTAATTAATTAGCTGCGTGTTCTCCTGTCCTCTGTCCTCCGGGCCACACACACACACACATACACACACACACACACACACACACTCACTCACACACAAGGGACTGTCTCAGCTGTTATTTTTGTTAACCCTTACCTCACATTAGAGCATTTTTTTGTGCTCTAATGACTTTAACGTTAGAAAATTTAAACGTTGGGTAAGGGTTAAAGGGACTTTACGGAGTTTTGAATTTTTATGCTCTCGATTGCCCCCTCAGGCCAAAAGCATAACGGCAGCTTCAATAGGAGGTGCGCATGCTGTACGTGCACACTCCTTAACGAAAATAACAGCTGAGACAATCTCGTGTGTGTGTGTGTGTGTGTGTGTGTGTGTGTGTGTGTGTGTGTGTGTGTGTGTGTGTGTGTGTGTGTGTGTGTGTGTGTGTGCGTGGCCCGGAGGACAGAGGACAGGAGAACACGCATCTAATTAATTAAATAATTTGGTTCTGTACCTTTCTCTTCAGCACAGCCGACAAAGGTTTATGATGGGTCAGTCCTCCTGCATGCTCAGATCATTCCCTTCCCTTGCTTGAAAATTTGTTCCAAAATGAAAGTTGAACTTTTTTCTTTTTTATCTGTGAATTCAATGTCGTTCGGCGAGTCTCAAATGAAAATTTGGGCATCTTACTGTAAAAAAATAAATTCTAAATGAATTATGTTCACAATCAGAATCAAACCCCAGTCTTTTGCACAGAAGTCCGACGTCTTACAATGTGTGCTTAAGTGCTGGTGAAGTCTTTTGTATCTGTAACATTTATATCCTTGATGACAGCTGAAACAACGTTAAAAGAACGGTTCGGAGCGAAAATAGCTATTTTGTTGCTAATTTGCAGGAAATATCAAGAAGAAAGTAGCTAAGGGTCCTCAGAAATGTAGCTAGGTTCATCACTAGGCGTTAGGAACAGCGACAAAGTGGCACTGCCTCTCTCTCTGCTGCTAAAGCTACGGATAGCAAACGCTACGGGCGATGCCTGAGCGTGAACGCGCATGAAGCAGCTTGCTCGACCCGAGCATCTCTCTTTTTCTGTGATTTTACAGAAAAACAGGCAATCACAGTAAAAATGCCAGGGCTCATTCTACAGGACCAGGGCATTGCAGGAGAATGTATGAAGAAGACATTTATTATTTCTATACATGTTTTGGCTGTCAAACTTACATAATGCCCCTTTAAGGAGTGTGCACGTACAGCATGCACGCCTCGTGCACGAGCCTACGATTTTGGCCTGAGGGGGCAATCGCGAGCATAAAAATTCAAAACTCTGTAAAGTCCCTTTAAATGAAAATGCAACATCTCACCTGTTAACTTTCATGTTTTGGAGCAGAAAAAGAGCATAAAACCAACATATTTAAAGCTCAGTTTGCTCCACTGGTTTACTGTGATGCTCACCTGTTCCAGCCAGATACCTGCATCATGGGGTTGATCTGAGCTGAGGAGGAGACTCCTGTTGTTTTGTTCATCTTCATCATAATAATGACAACATTAGATGACAACAGGTGCTCACATAGGTTTGTGCTGATGAACATGTCTGAGCAGCTTGACCACGTTGTTGTGTGTCGGGGAGGAAACACGACAGCAGCCACAGAGCCGTGCTGGTTTGAGCGTGTCGCTGCTCGCTGGAGTTATATCAGCTCTGTCTGGACGTTAGCTGGAAAACTTCCTCTTTCAGTCGTGAACACGTTCCTGAGCGGTTAAAATCTCCGTTTCTGGGCTTCAACGTCGGCAAATAGCTGAGTAAACTCGGCGCTGAGTGAGAGGAGTGTTTAGTTTGTCCGCGAGCTGCAGACACCGGCAGCAGACGCTGGAAACAACACAAAGGAGGGGCGCTTCGACTCCTCGCTAACGCCGCAAATCATCATGGGAGTTGTAGTCTTTGCGGTATCTCATGGGCCACATCTGGCCCACGGGCCTTGTGTCTGACACATGTGCTTTAGATGGTCTCTCAGTCTAAGCTGGATTACTGACATAAATGGACTTATGCCCCAGATTCTAGTTTTTCCAGGTTCATCTGTACTTCAGTTCCATCTGGGCCCCTGAGGGTCAGTTTATCCTTCATTTACAGCTGGAACACATGAAGTGGCTCAGCTGTTTACAGTCAGTTGAACTCATACTTTGTTACCATGGTGATGAGTTTAACCCCAGAGAGAACCCTGTGTCCACGTAGTAGACTGAAAATAAACACAACCTCTCCTCTCCATGATGGTGGACACCACTAAATGCTGCTGGCTGCCTCCTTAATGACCATATTCCGTTATTTAAAGTTGCATTTGTCTATTTAAAGAACATTTGTGTATGCGGTCAGTGAACCACAGAGTGTGCCCTCACACAGTGCCAAACTACTGCAGCATAACTCTGCACCTCTGCTGGTCACTCAGACCATCTGTCATCGCTACATCACACCCTGAGCCATGATGCAGGCCCACCTTCTGCTGCCCCCACCTCACCTGGAGGCTTAGAGGTGTGACAGCAGCAGGTTAAGTCCAACCCTCCATCTGTGATCACATTAATCACACTAATGCAGGAGGAACGTGCCTCAGAAGTGGCCTGGGAGAGACAAAAGATTAAATGCATAGCCGGACCACACCTGTCTAGTAATGGTAATAGGAGGTCCAAAGCGCTTAGCATGTTCTCTGAATCTTATGAATACACAAAGCATTAAAGTTGCTTTTTTACCTGTAGCTGGCTGCTTTGGCCTCCTCCCGTTGCCTTTGTCAGAGCATCGCAGGTGTTGCTGATGACTCTTCTGTTGGTGTTTACATGTAAACCGTGGACCGTGAATAGGGACGAGGGAGCGTACGCATGGGACCACACATGGTATGTGGTAATTTAGGAGAAGGATTCATCAGCAGCACCTGTGATGCTGTGATGAACAGGAAGAGGCCCAAACGGTCAGCCAATGGTAGAAAACTACTGTTAGTTCTCTGTGAATACGTAAAAATCAGAAAAAGGTAACTGGACAAACAACACAGCATGAGCCCAATGAGTGATTCTGAAGTCTAGAACAGTTCTCTTTCTTGTGTCAGGTATGACCCCCATCGCCCAGGACAAGAGAGTGTCCATGGGTCTGAACGGTGACCTGTACTTCTCCAACGTTCTTGTTCGAGATGCTCAGACAGACTACAGCTGCAACGCTCGCTTCCTCTTCACACACACCATCCAGCAGAAGAACCCATTCACACTCAAGGTTCACACCAGTAAGTAAACACACACACACACAACTACGTGGCCTGACACTGGTCACAGTGTGACTCTAATGCATCCTCTACTTGTGACGGGATTACCCAGGATGCCCCTCTGCAGCAGGTCTGAGCAGGAGCCACACGATGCCGAGCTGCTCCTGAAGCTGTTGCCTTTACTGGAAGTGTGTGAAGGTGTTGTGTCTGTACTGATGAGCTGTTGTTGTGTACCTGTGATTTCCAGAGGAGCCGTATAATGACACATCACACAATACCACTGACGGTGGTGAGTCTTTCTGTCGGGACAGTGCTCCTTCCTGTCGCTGCTCGTCATGTTCCTCTGTGGCACACTAACTCGTTAGCTTAGTCAGTCTAACGTCCAGCTGCTGCCTACTTGTTCTTTAGTCCCTGGGTCTGTTTGCCGTGTGTTTTCTTCGTCTGAAGCTGTAGATCTATGTGTTGCTTGCTGATGAACATCAGGGCTGTTGGGGTAGTGGGACAGAGCATGAGGTCAGGGCTCTACAGGTGCAGAACTAAACACAAAAGATGCTCATAGAGAAACTAAACAGGCTTTCAAAGTGTCTTGATTCAGATCCTGTTTAGAGAAGAGTCCACGCTCTACACAGGTCTGGGAATTCTGGTGGGTTCTGTACCCACCTCTTTATTATTTCAGGCCCATTTTATTTTCTCACAGTTATATAAAATCCAGCTGACGCCACAGGAAGCCATTAGATGATGTGTTGCACATACCGTTCTTTAAATCCATCGATGTCTGTAGAGGACCTTTGCTTTCTCTTTAAGGACACAGACGCATTTTAATCCATGTTTAAATCGTTTAGCGTTTACGGTGCTTTTGTACTATTAACGCTGCAATGGTGAATTTGCTAAACGAATGAACTTAAAACATTTCTTATCCTCTTCACAACATTCAGACGTCTATAAATATATTGTGGACGTAATAAATTAATTGTAGTTTTCTTGCATTTGTCTGAAAACTTGCACCAATAACACGTTTCAGCCCCAAAGCAACCACTGGACCATCCGGTTGTCGGTCTTGCCGAACAGCTGCACTCTGGGTCCGCCACTCGTTACACACACACGTATTCAGCAACAGAACACCACCGGTGTGAGAGGTTCTCCGCTCAGTAATATCAGAGAAGGAGAAAGAGCCGCCTGCTACCACTTCAACCTTAGAACAAACTACCAGAGTCCTAAAAAGAAAAACTCTATTTGAAGTCACGGACAACAGAAGACGTTTGGACCTAGAAAACAGCACTATCTGGTTTCCTCTGGTGGGTTTCAAGTTCCAGCAGCATCTTCTCATGGAAGATACCCAAAGTGTTGCAGTGGTCTCCGGTAGGAATGAATGCCTTGTAAGTCATACTCTGGGGAAACAAAGCTCCGGTGCACCAGTTTCAGGAACTAGAAGTGAGCCACATCAGAGCCGAGCTTCAGACAGCAGGTTTGGAGTCTTATTTCCTGTTATATGGATATCTCCCTTCTGATTGGCTAACAGCAATCTGACTCTGTTTGTTCTGCAACATTGATTTTATCTCCACAAATAACACAAGCCTGGAGGTGTTCTGCTGTGTGATAGAGCTGCTAATGCTAATGGCTAGCTTCTACTAATTGAGTTGTCTGGTGCTGTTTCCTGGATGCTCAACTAACAGCCTTCCTCGTCCTGAGTCAAGATGGGTGAGTCCATTAAAGTTAAGTGACAGCGTTACGTAGATCTGTCAGGCTTGTCCAATCCTAGAGTTTCACCGTCTGCAGGAGATACGTAGGTGTAGGAGACTATTTTCATGTTCAGCCTGCATGAAAAACTCAGAGTGGCCCGTTAGAATCAGAAATATGATTTTAAAAATGGTTTGTCAGTGTTCCACACCTTTAAGTGTCTCTGAAATGGTTTTGGTTCTAGCTGCAGAAACAGATCAGCCAAAGCAGCAGCAAATGTGCACCAGTCTGATGTTAGAGGTGGGGGTGGGGGAGCCTGTGGTGCATAGAATATGTCCCAGAGGGAGAAGATGTTTCTACTGAGAGACCAGGGCAGCATCTCTGAGGACCTGTGGGGCTGAAGACACAGATGAGCCGCCAGAATCATAACAGATTAGGTCGCATAAATATTCAGTCTGGGATCGTTAATATTCATGTGTCGGGTTCTACTGGATTTATTTTTTAGATTGGAAGAAGTAGTGGAGACCTTTGAGCTTGCACCAAGCAATCGAATGCTCTCTCCAAATAAACAAATGAACTACTTTGTTAATTAATTAATTAACTAATTAATTAATTAATTAATTAATTAATTAATTAATTAATTAATTAATTAATGGCAATATTTAATTTTAATATTTAGTTTTTGTATATCCATAAGGCAAATGATAAACGAGCCACACTTGTATAGCGCCTTTCAGAGACAGAGGACTCCAAAGCGCTTTACACTACAGTGTTATTCATCCATTCACACACTGGTGGTGATGAGCTACGATGTAGCCACAGCTGCTGGGGGAACACTGACAGAGATGAGTCTTGCTAGCACAGGCGCCATTATTCTAAAACACATTGTTTTACAATTGTTATGCTCACAGTATGTTGCGTTTTCATTCATTTATAGTTTAGACTTACTTGTCCATGAGAAAGGTCGCCAGCTGTGCATCAACCGAGGTACGTGTTAAACGCTCAAGCACGCTCTCTGACTGACGTCTGTATGTAAGCGGTACTCTAACGCTATCGGTTAGTGCTGACCGGCGCTCAGTTCATATTGCAGCTCATAACTCTACGAGACAAGCTTAGCTAAACATTTTTCTTAAGACGTATTGCCTACATGTATATGATAAGACAGTCACTTTTATGACTTTCTGAAAACTCACACGTAACCCCAGCTCATCTGGGGAACCCAGAAATGTCTCCTGGTCAGCTCTCATATACACAACATGCATAAACTTATTGGGACTTCACACCGCATGACCCATGTACACTACAGTCAGCTCGGTCTGGGCTGGGCGGGGTCACTGAACTTACATTGGTGTGGTCCATGCAGTTTTGTCAACCCTGCTTCCCTGTGGTCTGTCTTGAGCTGAATCAACCATACACACCCACCTACAGACTGATTGGCTGGCTGAAGTTATGCCACGCTCACATCTACCTACTAGTGAAAGCCACTGACTGGCACGAGTGGAATCAGCCAACGGCAGCTTCCCACATGCGTGATTCATGTGAGATCTGGTGCAGTGTGGTAAACATCTTCTCCAACTGTAGCTCTGACCGTTTGGAGCAGCGGCAGCACGAGGACTGACCGTCTGCTCTTGGATGGCAGCACTGCTCTTCAGTGAGAGAGTAGGAAGCTGTGCGCTTCATGTCAGAGTCTCCAAAGGAACACTGCTCACACCTGCTTTTGTTTACTAACTTGTGGTGCTTAGGCACGACAACAGGGACTTCTCCCAGCCTCTTTAGCGGGACACGCCCATACCCTCATCCACGTCCACATTTATGAGATTCGCCTCTATGGGGTGAACCAACAAATTCCCATTACTTGGTGGCCCACGACTGACTTTGCTCAAGAACATCCCAAGGTGAAAGACGAAGCCAAAACGTTTCCCACTTCCTATTGCATCTGAATTCTGGACAACTCCAGTGCACACGGTAGACCGACACAAACTGGTTCACCTTAGCCACCTGCCAACACAATTTCACCAGGTGTCCGTTTCATTATACCAACTCACCTGTTGAGTTTGTCGCCTTTATGGGAAGAAGCATGCTCTTGGACAGCTTACCATCACTAATGTGAAACATTCCCTCAAGTCTCAGTGGTGCACAACCAGACTGGAATTCAGACATGAAGTAAAACTTTATCTAAAAAGCACACAGGGTAGCTAGGGACCTAACCCATCCACCCAAGCACCGTGTTACATTGGTGATCTTCTTAGTTGGCCCAAACAAGTGTTAAATCTGCATGTTCTACTCAGGTCTGGGTTCACTGTCAGGCTGACCCTCCACCTCAGCTATCCAGAGGGTCAAAACTGGCATTTACAACATATCTTAGTGGGCTTTTGTGACTACACCCCTCTTGACTTTGTAAACTTCTGAACAAAAGTATGTCGCTTTCTAACGGGTCTGACTCTGTGTTAGTTGAAACCATAATGTGTCTTTTCTCTCCCCAGCGGCTTCCAGGACAACGATATATTTAAACATAACTGCAGGTTTTTTACATTAACTGTACACATTATAACTCTTTTCTCATTAGACAAGCTAACAGTAGTTCATGACTGAGTGGAGGGCTGCTCAGCAACTCTGCATCTGCAGGGTTTTCTTACGGCTACTAGGAGTGGGGATTGATAGGTTTTTATCAGTATCAGTGGCGTTGTCGATTCTGTCTATCGATCCAATTCCTTATCAATTCCAGAGTAATTAAACAGGTGGCAAAAAACTAATTGTGCAGGGCTTCCTGCATTATAACTGTCAGTTTCTTTATGATAATCAGTTGTATCGGCTGGAAGCGTCTTTCCAAATGCTCTCCTTTATGCTCCCCGTGAAGGCAGAGTCATCTTCTTGTTTGGTGCAGTGTTGCTGTAGCTTCTGCAGAGTGGGAAAAACCTCACCACGGGTCAGACCTTTGTCGCTGGAGTCTGCCAGCAGAGGTGTATACGTATATGAGGTAAACGACGCTAACATGATAGGCAGTGTGAGTTGATTATTTACCTGCAGTATTAACAGGAGAAGCCGTGCAAACGCTGCTGCTGCATTGAAATTCACCCGTCCGGATCGGGTCAAAACACGTCGATAACTTTGAGTTTTAGCGTATTTTGTTCCCAAAGGCTTTTGTGGGTTCGTAACGCTTCCTCCCTTGATGAAATATCTACTTTGCAATTATTGCAAGTTACTCTGCTTTCATGCTGTCTTGTAAAATATAACCAAACTTTCAAGCGTTTGTGTCGCTTAGACGCCGTGCTTCTTGCTTCCGTAAGCTTCGCAACGTATGCGGTGAACGTCATTCGCATCAGCTGGAATTTATAAGGGGGATCGTTTGCGAAAGCGTCGAACGATTCCTAGGAATTTAAACAATGAAAACCGGTTCTCAGCAAGAACCGGTTTTCGATTCCCAACCCTAACGGCTACTGTCTGCTCCTAACCCCAGAGGGCGTGGCTATGCCGGTTTGTCTAACTAATGAATCTGTGTGTTTGCTTTGTTTTTCACTATGAGTTGTTTTTCATTAAATGTGTACTTTGAACTTTGACACTGTCCAGAAGCTGCTAACCCAATGCTTTACCTGCGTGTCAATCTGCACCCTG